TCCATCTTAAAGGGCCGGGGGCTCGTGCTTGGTGGGGGAGGGAGCGAGGGGGAAGAAAGGCCTGGCGCTTAGCCCACTCCCTCCCCTGGAGGGTCCCCGCTTTGCTTGACGGCGTTTCCCTTCAAGACAAATGCACGGCCTTCGGGCCACGAAGGCCGCCGTTGCAGCCGTCCTACTTCGGCGTAAAGGCTCGGGAAAGGCAGGCGTTGCTGGATTATTGTAGGGATGCTTACTTTAGGGGCAGCACAGCAACGCCTTACTCTCGCATCAAGACCCGGGCAGAAATGCAAAGTTATGGTCAGCTGCCTTTGCATATAAGCCCTTGGCCCGCCCACTGGGAACTCTGGGATTTGGAGTCCAGACACATCTGGAAGGCACCCAGGTGGGGAAGGGCTGCTTGGGCTGTTTCCTGCTGTCCCCTTGCGGCGGGCATTTGTGATGACCCTCGATCGGCTCAGGGCAATGAAGGCCTTCTGCATTCTCGGCCGCAAGAGCCGGGGCAGGCGTCTTCCCGGGGCTTCCTTCCTTCCTTCCTCTGCTTGCGCTTGTTGTCCATTTGTGGTGGGTTGCACAATCCTCCTTCCTCAGCAAAAGAGCTGCAGGCCAACACCTCTGAAGGGGGAGTTAGCAGACGGGGGGAGGATTCACTTCATCAGATGCAGGCAGAGTGTGTGGGCTTCTTTGCAGCAGACCGATTCCATAGGACAGGCTCAGCTCCCGGGAATATCTGCCCTTATCTTACATGCAGTTGGTTTGCTCTGACTTCTATTTATCTCAGTTACTGGAGAAACAGGAACCATTATTTTATGTTAACCCTCCTCTTCCTCTCCATCCTTTTCTGCCTTCTACAACTGAAGCCAACCACTCTCTGATCCCCAAAACACGATGCTGGAAAAGTTCGCCCTTTCTCATTTTGTGCAAACTGCTTTAAAGTATCTTTACTGGATAGGTGAACGTGGCACTTTTGTGGGTATGAACCTCAGTGAAGTGGCACCCTCCCATGACTTGTCTTCAGCGCTGGCTTCTACAGGGTGATTTAAAAACCATCCTGTTCACGCTGTATTGACAATTATGTATTTATTATTTATTTAGGCCTTTACACTCCTCAAAGGACAATACAGTTTACGGTTATAAACAAAATAAAAAATCCTGACCAAATGCATTGAGCAAAGAGCAGTAAAACAAAAACAGGGCAGAATAAAACATCTGGGGATGCTTGGACCCACTGTGGCAAAACCCTCTGCAGATCTTGTTCCTAAGTGGGTGAGGGAGAGGTTTCTGGGGCACCTGCTGTGTTTTCAGGGTCTCCTGGAACCAAGCAGGGACTTGCTCTGCAGCCAGACAGGCTGGGCAGCTGAGATCCAGCCCAGGACTCCCCTGGGAAGGAGCCGCCCCCAGCCCTGCGGCAGCCTTGGGGTGGGTCTGAACAATCCATGGCCAAAGCAGCCAGGGCACCTGACCGAGGGCCGCCCAGAAAAAGAATTCACAGGCAAAGAGCAGGGAAAAGGGAGCAAAGGCACCCTAGTGGGCTAGGGCAGCCAAGGGCATCTGGCAGCCAGGAGCCCGCCCACCAGGACTGCTGGGGAAGCAGAAGGTGGCCCTCCCAGAACCTCTGGATCCCAGAGTGACTCCAGAGTCCAGGGTTCTGGTGGGTTTTCCTGTTATTCTGTAAACTTCCTGTTCTTAATGTAGGCCAGTGGCCTTGCCAACGGCTTCTGCAAGGAGGAGGAAATTGTGGTGCTCAGCCAAGCTCCTTCCCAGCACAAACAGCAATCCAGGAACTTGCTCTCAAGTGTGTGCCTAATCCTCTTGTGTACATATAGGCATAATGTCAATTACATGCCCAAAAGACATTCCACAGATGTCTATTCCCAGCTACTCTGTACATCAGCCGAAAAACGCTCAACTGTTACAGCAAACAAAGTCTTAGGGAACCCTAAAAATCAGCCCAAATTGATCACAGCATAACCTGAGGAGATCACCCAGAGGGTTGCCAGTGGTGCTGATTTTCAGCAAGCAGGTGATCTCATTGTCCGTGAGACTCTCTCCTCTCTGGCCCCTGGACCTTTGCTCATGACCCTCAGCCTGGGCTGACGGTCCCCAGACCACCCACTACCCGGGATGGGGTTTCCAAGGGAGCAGCCGGCTTGCTGTGACCCGCTTGACCCCGAACAAAGGTCCCCAGCCAGGCAGGGGTCTCGTCAGAAGGACGATCCTGGAGCTCTCTTGGCAGCAGGCTATGGCAGACCTCCAGGTTAGCCACCCACAATGGCTCCGCTCACATGAGCCAAAGGAAACCGTATTATGGGCCCAAGCAATGGTCTGGCCCACAGCACACTTCTCTGGCTGCTGTTTTTCACGCCCGGCTGGTGAATTTCCGCCCCACACGTTCTGGATAAAGGGCTTTCTCGGTCCTTGGGGAGAGGGAGCCAAGGCAACCTGCAGGAGAAGAGCCCTCCAAGCCAAGCCCTCTAGGCACACACAAGGGCAGCGAGAAGGGGGCCGAAGGTGGCTTTCAGATGCCCCACAACTCTTGGCCTCCTGCTCAGTTGGCTTGGCCACCCTCCCAAAGAACAGGCCGATGTTCACATTCTGGTCAATGCACTTTGGATCACCATCAGAGGCCAACTAAGGACCACCAAGATTAGCACCCACGGAGACCCCCTCTTTCCAAAGAACTGTTGTTTCCCAGGGAATCGTTAATGATCAACACCCTCTGGGGCCTAAAGATCAGCCTCTCCCTGTTCTGTCAGGGGCACGGCAGGAGCGCTGTGCTCCTGCAGGACAGGAGGGAGGGCTAGGCCCTTGCTCATTCACATATCTGGGGGAAGTCGGGAATTCTTCACTGGGGCCCAGCAGAGACTACCCTGGACAGCAGGGGTCCTGGTTGTTGGACCCCACTTTTTCACCCAGAGGCTGAAAGACCACGGTGCCAGTGACAGGGGGCTGCCTCCAGCCCTTGCAGCAATGTCTCTGTCACACACACACACACACACACACACACACACACACACTCCCTTCTCACAGGTCTGTGTAACCTCCTTCTGAAGCAACGCAACACAACAGACACCAGGACCTCTTGTGGCAGGGAGTTCCATACAATGCCAGTGAGGAGGTTGGCGAGTCCCTGGCCTCTCTCATCCCACTCGGAGGCTGGGCTATGCCCAGGCTCCTGAAGACTTGAGTGCCCCCCATTTCCTGCTACTTCTGTGCAGGCCCCTCAAGGGTGCATGCGGTGGTTGTACTTGCACAGGTGTCACAAGAAAGGCTTCCAGCATGGGGTTGGCGCATGCCTGGTGCTTGCAGGAAGCAAGTCCAAAACAGAGGGACGGAGCCACGTGGGGCACTGGTCAAGGCCCCACGAGGAGCCAGAGGGTGAGCCTGCTGCCTCTGCCTGCAGCTCCCAAGGGCCACCCAGCATTCTGCCCCCCCCCCCCGCTCCCAGCAGTCGTGGCCCTTTTGCACTGAAGGGAACAAGGAGGCTTTGCAACTGACAGCACATTTTCTCCTCCCCCCCACACATTTGGAGGCATTCCCAGCCCGCCAATGCCCAGCGGCTGTGGCGTCCTCAGAGCCAAGGGTGGCACCTACTCTGGAGCAGTTGGGGAACAAAGGAGCATTCTCGAGATGCCCGAATGTGACTCCTTCTGCTGAAAGAAAGTTGGCAGCGCTTTCCCTGAGGGGCAGGCAGGGCTCCGCGTGGCAAAACCAGTTCTTAGCGCTCAGCGCCAACCCAGGAAGCTGGAGATGATCTATTCCAAGCTTCGCCCCACGGGATACATTTGCAGGTAGGCACACCTGAAGGCACCCCAACGTGGACAGGGTGCTTTTCACCCTGGATCCCGGAGAACCAACTCCCCCACTCGGATGTCAGCTGCTAATCGGCCTCGCAAAGCGCCTGCTGGGCGGGGGTGGGGGAGAGAGGGGATCAGTCCGGCCGGCGCAGCTTCCTCCCCGAGTCTGCTCCCTGCACCTGGAAATCAGGAAGCCCCCGGTCCCGTCCTCCTTCGGGGCGCAGGGAGGCGAGGAGGCGCTCGCTCGGGGTTCCTTTAACCCGGAGCGGGTTAA